ATACAAAGGCCATGGGTTCAATCCTTAGTGGCCCCCGCCCCAAAAGATGAAATTGCTAGGTCAAAAGACATGCAAAAGTTTTCACAGATATTCCCAAATTATCCTTCAGAAATACTTAACATTTTACCTTCATAGGATATGAGAACATCCATTTACTCATATTCTTACCAACAGATATATTATAAATCCTTCCAACTTCTGCTCATCTAGTAGACAAAAAAAAAAATTATTTGTATATACACTCACTTAACTAGAAAACTCAAGAAAATTGTTCTTAAAAAACAATTAACGGGGGCCGGGAATTTAGCTCAGTGGTTCCGATGCCTGCCGTGCAAGTGCAAGGTCCTGAGTTCGATCCCAGGTACCAAAAAAAAAAATATTAATGGGGCCAGGGATGTAGCTCAGTGGCACCATGCCTGCCTGGCTAGTGCAAGATCCTGAGTTCAATCCGTGGTACAAAAAACCAACAAACAATTAACTAAACAAAATTGGATTGGAGAGCTGGGTATATGTGAAGGAAAGCAATTACGTACTTGATAAAAGTACAAATTGTACTCCAGAGAGCAGTTTCTCAGGATGAGGCAAAAATGATTAAAAATTGTGTTTCTTCTGGCCCAGTCATCAAAAATTCAGAATTTATGATAATGTGAAATAGGAAGAAAAGGTCCAAAGGGATAGGGGAAATGGGAGGGGTAGAGGAAAAGAATGAAGGGAAAGGAAAAAATATGAGAAAAAAAATGGAAACAAAATCTTTGTAAATAGGGAGGGGTGGAGAGGTTGAAAGGAGGGCAGGGGAAGGGGGGAAAAAATAAGAACCAAAATACATCATGTAAAGGTACAAGTTCCTAATGATGAACTGTATACCTAAAATGTGCCAATAAAAGAATTTAAGAGAAAAAAAATTCAGAATTTAGCTGGGCATAGTTCATGGCAGCATATGCCTGTAGTTCCAGCTACTAAAGAGACTGAAGTGTATCACTTGAGCCCAGGAGTTCAAGACCAGCCTGGGCAACATAGAGAGACCCTGTCTCAAGCAATAACAAAAAACAAACAAACGAAAATCCAGATCATTTATTCCTAGGGAAATGAAGAAACATGCAGAAATTTAACTATAATAATTTTTAACCGAGGCATACTTTACAACTATAAATAACCAAAAACAACCTAATTGTCCAACAAGAGACTAGTCAAATAAATGATTTTCCATTCATACAAACTATACATCTATCAGAAGTTATTTTATAGGCTAAAATTTAACAGATTAATATTTTCATATTGTAGTGCTCCATGACAAATATCATGAAACAGTTTATACAATTTGATGTCAATAAAATGCATATAATTAATTCTAAATTGCTAATAAAATTTAGTTTGGTGAAATTTAGTTCATCCTAAAGGTGAATTCTGTTGAAAACCCAAGCCAAAGCACCAATCCAAATGTAAGCTTAACACCTGACACCCAAGCTAGGCAAGCAGAAATGGGTATAAATATAAAACTCAGAGATAATCCTGGTATAAAAAGAAATGCCTGTTCTGGGACCTTACATTGAGGCTTCTTAATGAAATTAACAGCTGTTTGAATAACCACTCTCAGCTTGTTTACAAAGATCACAAGCTTTGCCAGGGTATCTCAGGATTGTTTTGAGTGCCCCTAGAGACCCTGGGAGCCCCATATTGCTTCTCTCATTTGGATGCTTAACCAGTGTTCAGAAGAATCCAAACAAGATGCTTTCAGCTAAACGTTGCAGTGTCCCCAGCAAAAAGGAGGGCCAGTGTTTGCTCAGTGACAATTCTCTATTTTCCCAAACCATGAATCAGCCCCATTGTCCCACCCGTCTCTGTGCATCATTCATTCTGTGTTCATCACAGCTAATGGCAGAGGCAGAAACATGGCAAAGAAACTAAAACTCTGGGCAAGAGAGAGAACAAGAAGCTACAGTATTTAATTCTGATTTAAAGAAAGTCGAGCTTTCTCCAGGACCGCTTCAGAAAAATGGCTGGACATGTGTCAGAAGGCAGATTTAATGGACATTTAATTTACAAAATAATACTTAGAATTGATCAGCATTTTGGGTCCAAAGGTAAAGAAGTCTGAAATATGAATGTATAAACATAGCATCAAGCTACGTCAGTTTTTTTTACCTCCCTTCCCCCACTGTGTTTCCTCTTCCCCAGTTTTTCTCTCTCCTCTTACTCTCTATTTGTCTTTGTTGGAAATGAATGATAGCTTAACCTGGATAATACTCTTCTTTATTCACATTTGACATACAACTGATGTTCACTCAAATGGCCTAAACCTTTCACGTATTTAATTTTATAAAGAATGAAAAGGGAGGGGGCTTCTATCTTCTGGTCATAGTACCCATTGCCTAAAAAGTCACTGCTGTTTTAAATCCCCTGCACCAAGTCTGAGCCATGCCTTTCCAGTCCATGATAACTCAATTTGTCTGTATTGTAGATGGCAGTATGCTTTGGTTATAAGAAACAAGCACTTTTGAGAAAGCTTAAGAAGATTTGAAAGGATAAAGAGATACTTTCATAATATTAAAGGGTAAGTATACAGCAGAGATGCTGTAAGGGTCTAGAACCAGGAACAGCAAAGCAATCTTTAGTCCCTACTTCTCCTTCACTGCTTCATTCCTGTTCTCTCCACATTATCTGCCTGTCTCTCTGCATTTCCGCTTTTTGCCTCTCTTCTAATCCACTTGACAAGCAGAACATGGCTGCCTCGTAGCTCCCAAACCACATGCTAAAATCCTAGTTGCCTACAGACTATATTAGCCATTTCTCCATCCAGTCCTAAATTCCCCCCAAGAATCCTGGTAAGATGTCCACCTTTCATCCAGACAGCCAAAACCAGGGAGGCAGAGTCAGGTGGTAGCAAAATGGCTCCCAAGAGCACATTCTAGTGATGTGATCTGTGGTTATGTTTCCCAGAGAAAGGAAGATGACTATTGGGCTGGTAAATGATCTAAACAAAATCAGTTTATTGCTCTGATATTTGGACTATTTGGTAACAGATCTTTTCTTGTTGAAATTCAGGATTCCAATTATATTTTAAGAAATGAAGTTTGCAAGATCATGGCTGGTTCACAGCAAAGTGGAGACACATGAATCCTTTTCATGAGTGGTCGAAATGGCCATCCTCTTGGATCCCAGCTCCACCAAACCTCTGGGTCTTGCCAGCTTTCAAGGCTCAGTAAATTCAAAATTGTGTAGTGAATATTGACTTTCTCCTTGGTTACGGGGCCTGTTTATAGGACTAACTTGGATCTTTGGAAAGGTAGCTCTGTGTTATTGGAAGTCAATAATGTGTTAAAAATAGCACTGAGTGGAAGAATACCTAGGTTTCAATCTAGATGCTTTCTTTGAATGCTTTGTCACCTGGGGCAAAGCATATGGCTTCTCTTCTCTCCATTTGGGAAATGTGGGTAATGATATTTTATTCCTACCTCACAGGACTGATTGAGGGTTAAATGAGGTTATGTGATCAAAAGGACTTCGTCAACTGTACGTAATAATATGTCACCACACTAAATTTTGGTACAAATGAGAATGAGAACTATTCTCATATAACATATAGGGTCGATAAGTTAAGGTTCATTTGGTACTAGAACAATCAGATATTAATTTGCAAAAAAAAAGAACCTTAATCTATCTATCTATCTATCTATCTATCTATATTTTTTCAGTCCTGGGGATTGAACTCAGGACCTTGTGCTTGCAAGGCAGGGGCAACACCACTGAGCTAAATCCCTGGCCTTATATTTTTAAAATATTTTCTATTTTATGAAAAAATAAAACAAAATTTCATAACAAAATAATAA